TACATGTTGTCTGTGAGGGGGAAGGTTGTTAGTTCTCAAATCTGATATAAGTTGTAAGACAGTTCCACAGGAGTTTTCCTTTTGAGTTGGGCTCAATGTTGGGCTGAGATAACAAATGACCTTTTAGCCAACCATCCAGAGCCCAGAGGTCATCATGTGAGCACATAAGGGAATGCAAGATGTATTTCATTCACTGAAAATAGGGCAGTTTCAGGTTTTGGAAAATCTTCTAAGAACATTCCTTTGCATTATCTTTCCTAGAAATCACAAGTGGTATTGTCTCCACCACCCTGAGTTGTAGGAGAGTAAGTTTGTAAATTATCTCCAACAATTTCCTTTGTCATCCTCTCTCTGCTGCATGCATATTCACTACATGGATGTGGTTTTCCCCAGCCTCACCTGCTGCTTCCTGTCTGTCAGAAAGCTAGTAATCCACTGACAGGTGGGGGCAGGCACAGTGAGCTTGGTCAGTTTGGAGTGGAGGATGTCTGGGATGATGGTGTTAAACACTGAGCTGAAGTCCACAAAGAGGGCCCGTGCATAGGTCCCTGGGGGGTCGAGGTGTTGCAGGGTGTAATGCAGTGCCATGTTCACTGCATCGTCCACTGACCTGTTTGCCCGGCAGGCGAACTACAGGGGGTCCAGCGGGAGGTATACGATGTCCTTCGGGTGGGCCAACACCGGTCTTTCAAAGGACTTCATAACTACAGATGTCAGGGCGAAAGGGTCTGTAGTCGTTCAGTCCACTGATGGAGGTTTTCTTGGGGACTGGAATGATGGTGGTGGAGCGTTTGAAGCAGGAGGGGACTTCACACAGCTCCAGTGACCTGTTGAAGATGAACGTGAAGATGGGGGCACACTTTCAAGCAGGAGGGGGTCACACCATCTGGGCCTTTCTGATGTAGTGCAGACTACACTGCAACAGCACAACTCCAATCTGATTAGGTTTAGACTATCATAAAATGACAATTTATGAAACAAGACAATTACTGTAAATGAAAAATGTGGCTCACACTTGTGACTTTGTATTTAGCAAATACACTCCTGAGGTTCTAAAAACCTCACCAAACCCATTTTACTACATTTACCATTTTGAGGAAAATATATGGATATTGGTTGTTCTTGATTTACATCGCGTACATGTTTAACTCACCTAACATTCTGCATAGCGTTAGTCAAGATGTGATTATTTTTCATGGTTCCCTTTTTCCTCCATGTCAACTGGCTTCCTTTTTCTTTTTTTCAGAATTTGACTACCCATCTGCAGTGAGTGTATTCTGGGTGTTCAGGTTTCTGAAGGTGGTTGTTTGGTTAGAGGTGTGATCCAGGGTACACAAACACCTTCTTTACCCTCTTCCAGATTTACATCAGTCCTCTATGCTTCACAACAACACAAGCAACCAAAGCACTTTACTTTTATGGTTGTTTGTGACATCTGTCCTGACCTGCATCTTGAATGTTTTGCTTTTAGTGTTTTGAGTATTTTATAGGCTATTAAAAAGAATTTACATTAATGCATGTCTGTAAGCCTCTTAAGGCTTTTGTAAGCATGTGCTTGTTTCCTCTGACTTGTTCTAAATGAGTGATTGTAATTTTGACTTATTAATAATTTAGTTCCTCTGTCTGGTGGTTTTGATGAAGCAAGCAGTAACTTTAAACATTTAGATTCTTAAAACACATTGGCTATACTGCTGAAGCTTTTACTGCTGCAGTACTACTACTGCCATTGTGCACATACTTTTGTATGCTGTTATAAAATATTTTTGAGTGCAATTCAAAACGACAACACACTGCATCTTAAAAACTGCAAAATGTCCCTACATGACAAAAGGAGAAATATGCTTTAGGTTGAAGTGGGCTGGATGTACACAGTGCATCACTCACACATTATGAGAAAAACATTTTTTACTCTATTTCATTAAAACAAGAACATTGCCATAATAATATATTTCTGTATACATCTTTGTTTGTCCTTGATGTGTCCAATTTAAATGTCTTCATTAGACCATAGTCTGTCTCAGGATAGTTTAATTCGACATTTGATGATGAAACTTGTGGTTTCAACTCAACATGGTGCCAAGTCATCATTGTATCTGGACTTCCTGAAAACCAGCTTCTTGGTTTTCCTCTTGATTTTCACACTAAGCTGCACTCAGATTATTTACATACAGATGGTCCAGAAGTGGAAGGCTCCTATTTACTGCAGACTTGCTCAGGTATAGCTCTGCACTTTAGTTAAATCCAAAAGATGAATTATTTGAAAAAAAAAATTCTAAAATTGTTCAATTATTTAATAGAGTAGAATAGGTACTTTATTGATCCCACAGTGGGGAAATTTCTGAGTGTACTAATAAATACTGACTTAATCCACTGCAGAGACCCAGGGTCAATTCTGAGGGCGGTATCTTTTAGCTGTTACATAGATGGGAAGCCAGTACGGGATCATGTCTTTGTCAATGCACTAGTGACCTCTACCTGTTGATTGTAAAGGGAGGACCATTTTTAAATATCCTGTGCATGTGTGGTAGTAGTACTGGTTGTTTAATGAGTGATATTCACCAAGCTTGCAGCTTAACTACTGTTTTTGTAAATCTACTAACTCCATGCACAGTGAATTGTATGGCATGGTCTACCGTTAATGCCCATAACTTAGCGAGCGTTGCTTTCTTTTTGAATCCTCACACGTGTTCACCAGCACAACTGCACCTGTTGCTCACAGTGGGCAGAGAGCCCCCCCATCCTGCTGCATCCATTGTTTTTCTTAAATGTCACATAGCAGAACTAAATGTGTTTCAAAACAAAACTAACACCTTTTAATCACTTGTCCCCGCAGCATTTCCGGTAGTTTTTAACAGCTGCACTCTAAAGTCTGAACATTCCAGACTGAAACCTAGTCATGGTTTTTATTGCAAGTGCTTTGTATTCTCAGTTGTTGTGATGTCTCATTTTCTGACTTGCTCTCTTTAAAGTCACTGATTTCTTTATATAGATACATCACTGATAAGTACATTGGGAATTACAAGCAAACTGCCACTTTGTTCGAGTTGCCAAAAACAAACAGCAAATTACACCGCTTAAGGCACATGTGTCAAACTCAAGGCCCGCGGGCCACATCTGGTATCTGACATCACAGCAGATGTTTTCACCACAGCGAAATCACACAGTGAAGCTGCTGTGAAAGCAAGTTTTATTGGGGCAGAGGACAAAATCAGCCCGGACATTTACCGAGGGAGAGTTTCTGAAGAGCTGCATGATGAAAGTGTGAGACGTCTTGTGTCCAGACAAAAAGCAGATGTTTGCAAATGTACTAAGCCTTAGCAGAAATACGGTTGCTGATTTTAAGTTCAAGTTTATTTATTTTGGAATAATATTGTATCCTGTCTGTTTCCATTCGTATTTATATTTAAAAAATGTTTAGTTTTAGTCTGTTCAATAAATGTTTATCCTGTTCGGCCCGCGACCTGAAGTGTGCTTTGGGTTTTGGCCCCCTGTGCCATTGAGTTTGACACACCCCTGGCTTAAGGGCTTTCAAATAAAGCTGCACGGGGCCTAAAAGCAAAAGACTGAAATACTTCTTTGTTCTCGTTGTGGGACAAAAAAAGTCTCTAGTGCACATTTTTAACAATTTCAGGTGTTTGTGCTAATAATAATACAGTACAGCTGATTTCCTCTCCATATAAAACTAAACTGCATTTGACTCAATTTGAGAACCGAAGCCAAGGTGAAACACAGAAATCACATCTTGTGCTTAGGGGCAAGAAAAACACATGGTGTGGAATTGCCCAGAAGTTTCACACTGTTGTTGAGAAAGTGGATTTAGTCAAATCTTCTGAATTCAGTACAACTGTCTGGCACACTCAGTGATGCATTGATAAGTGTTAATGAGTCACAATGTGCATCACTTCTAGACTACAGTTCCACAAGTGGACCTTTTTAAAAGCCCATACATCATCATAATGCAGAATGTGTCATTTTAATATGTATGAATTTAAAACATAGGCATAAATAACTAAAATCCTTAATTTTTGAAAATATAGTTGGACAAATTCAGCCAAAATCATCTACCTGGTAAATTATTAACAACATATAAATTGCTTGCATGAGCACTGTCTCCTTTTAGTAAAACACACTTTTAGAGGTGAAGGGAGCTTCATTGTGTCTAACCAAGGGGTTCCAAGTGATTTTATAAAAAAAAAAACCCATATGTGAAAAGCTTTTCAGTCAAAAGGTCTTTTTTCATAATCGACCAGAATAGAACACAATCACTGATGCAATTAATGACACCTGCAGATCTCCTGATGTGACAAAATGTTTCATGTTGATTTGTAAAAATACAGAAAATATACAGCAGTGACTGTCTGTAAGAAAACTATCACTTGGGAGAAGACAGATATTCTATAAATTTTATTCTATAAATATTCAGAGTTGTATTATAGCAAGACAACAACCCCAAAGGTAAAGGCAAAGCTACATAAGGATCACTTCAAGATGTTAATTTGGCCCAAACTGCTACAGTATTGTTTTCAGTCATGTGTTAACGAGCCACTGGCTGAATGTGGCTGAAAGCTTGAGCAAAACCATTTAAAGGAGTTTAAGATAAGGTTGGTTTTTTTTGTCACATTGCCAACATTAATGAAACCGCTCAGCAATAGGTGCAAACTCAGAGTTCAGGTTTGTGGCAGTACTTGAAAATGTTTAACTCACAAAGCCCATAAAACTTGACAGGGCTTTTTAAAAACAAGATAGAAAATAATTTACCTAACTTATCAACACAGACTGAAGGACATAACTGCTGCCTTGATTTGCACTACATAGCCAGTGATTTTGTGTTTTATATACTGTCGTTCCTTAGGTTCATTTTTAAAAATGTGCTTTTAAATGGACACTTTTTGGGTGGGGGGGATTCTCCTCACACACAGTGGGGAAGTCCCAGCCCAGGCAGCAAGGTCTTACTCAAATGAGCTTCCATGTTGAAATACAAGCCTGTCTCACTCTCATCTACAAACCAAAGATTCTCCCACCGCTTCTTCGACTCACCAGGTGAGTGATTCCTTCAAACGCCGTTTTCAGGCCATAGTAGGTCACAATGGCAAACTGAATGTTGTGTTTTCAGGTTGTGTGGGGAGTGTCGGCCTTCCAGGTAGGGCTCGAACCCTCGACTACAGTCAGCATTTTCAGCCTCTAACCAGTATAATAGTGACAAAGGCAAGAGTCAGAGTTAGCTCTTTGATCACCAGAAGCGCCTTCACTTTGCTCCGAATGCAGCTCTGACTCCGGGTACATTTACACACAAATGACATGAAAAAATTAGACTGAAGCCAAAAATGAGAAACTTGAAACATATCTCAAAACTGAAAAAAATTAGCAAAACAAGCAACAATAAAGATCACTAAAGGAGGCACAAACGTAGCTAAAGAAATGACAAAGAAGAAAGGAAATTCTAAGTACTGACTTTAGTTTGTATGGGAATCAATGTTGTTCTGGAAACTTGTAAAGATATTGTGTGTTTATAATAATTACAAACTGTACAAACTGTGCATGAAATCTGAATAGGGAGCATAAGTAAGAAAGTAAGTTTTGATTATCAGGGTGTGACGGATACAGTGAAGAACAAATCAGGCTTACAATTGTGTGTTTGAAAGCAGCAGAGGGCGGAGGAGGTGTAGATCTGTGCTTCTTTCACAGTCCGCTGACTCAGTGCTCACCAGAGCGAAGACGACTGCGTTTAAGAACAAAGATATGATTTCTGAAAACATGGAAGTTGTAGCTGTAGCAAGGATGGCAGGTTACTGATGCTGTTTTATCTTGGAGTTACTAGAGTGTGCGCTTGTTTTGCAAGGTTTGATCTAAAACAAGTGTTATTACACCAAAGGAACTGGGTCCACAGAAAAGTCTACGTAAGTGATCTGGCACACAGCAAAGCAGAAAAGTAAACAGCCTACGTAAGTGATCTGGCACACAGCAAACAATAGTGTGTGACTGGTTCAAGTGCAGACTTAGTCTTTTATGCACACCTGTCACACATTAGTACAGCTCATTTTTCCTTACATATTAAACCAACATTGTAATGTCCTGTTACTACCAAACTATCTAAAGTAATTCCTGATGTGGGATGAACCAAATGTGATGCATTTAGCAAGCATGCTATAAAGACAATGGAATGCTACTATATAGTATCCCATAATGCTATTATACAACAATCATTCAAGCCCAGTACAGGAGAGTATAATATAGTGCAGTTTATTATAGTGTAGAACAAGGATTTTCAACTAATTGTGACCCAGGGACCACCATTTTCACTAAGAAGTAACCTGGTGACCACTGTTGTGGGGTGGATAAACTGGATGGGCACTATTTTAATCATGAATATCACCTTGAATTTTCTAAACTTTATACATTTGAATGAATTTGATTATTCACAAATAGTAAGTAATATATGGAAATGTGTTTTTGTCAAAAGAATTTTCAAAGAAGCAACGAAGTCACTGGAATCTTTCAATAACAGATTGGTTTACTTGCAGCAAGGAAAGGAGACAAGTCAGCATAGGCATACAGAGTTGTCTGAATGAGCTTAGTCTAAGCATCACATTATATAGGGCAAAGGGAACTCCCTAGAGACGCATCCCAGACGTTCAATCAGGTTGTAAAAAAGATTTGCGAAGGGAAAGTGAACTTGAGAGGGTTTTGCCCTGATGACCCCTAAGACACTGCACAATCTGTTGTCTGTTTATCTCCACAGTGTATGGCCGGAACGCTTTATGGCTGGCTCCTTTAAGTCTGGGGTGCCATCTGGCTGAACATATAACAACACACAAAGTACTAAAACAGAGATAGAACATGTCCTTCCGTTCACACAAGCAGTGTCTCACAGGTCCCTGTGATCTGTAGTCTGTTCTGAAAGGTTAAAATCCATTGAATAACATACCTTGGTTAATACATTGATTAAAACACAGTTTAAAACATACTTAATAATGTCATTTTCATGACATTTCCCTCCTGAGCCCAAAAGTGATCAGACCACTCCACTTTCTAAACCAGGATTCTAGGAGATTGGCAAAGGGGTTGTTGATGCCAGAGTTCACAGCCAGCTCCTCGGATAGGGCTGTCAGTCCATCAAGGGCCTTGGTGATGCTGCCATCTGGGGAAGTGTTGTTAGATATAAAAGTACAACAAAACGTGCCAAACATTTTGCATACTCCTCCTCTCTTGGCTAACAACATATCTAGGGCCATCCTGTTTTGCCATAACATGAGAGAACTTGGGCCCAGTTGTTCTGCTATGCCTCTAATTGCATTTCTGGTATGATTCACAAAACGTTGTTGATTATAGTATAAGTAGTTAATCCAATCCACATTCTTATTTACTGTGACCCACCAGGAAAGAAAAGATACAAACCCTGCAGCTATTTGATTTCTAGCTTTAAACTCATCAGGTACTCCTTGGGGTATGTCAATTACATCTAAGTACACTCTGTTGTCGTGTTTTAAAAAAAACTTTCCTACAGCAAAACTACATTATTGAATACATGGTCAGGGACCACCTTAAATGCCTTTGCGGACCATCAGAGGGCCACGGACCACTGGTTGAAACCCCCTGGTGTACAGCAGTATTTTATAGGCTACTAGAGGGTAATATAACTAATATCCAATGGTTCTTCAAGGTCAGTATTGCATATTACAGTACAGTTTTATACTAGATTAGTACTGTTCATTACAGTACAGTAAAGTATGGCACAGTTTAATACAGTATAGTGCTGTCTGTATGTCCAGCGACTAGCTTCCATTTCTTGGTATACATCTTTCTGTTAACAATGCCACAACAGTGTGTCACATTTAATAGATATTATCAATGATAATAATAAGCAGAAAAACAAAACTATATAGTAAAAATATGGTAACACTTTACAATAAGGGTACATTAATTAACCGTACTTAATGCAGTAATAAGCATTAACTAATAGGTAACTAATGCATTTATTAATCATGTACTAATGTTTTTATTAAAGTATTACCTCATACATTATTTAATAGTTTTTAACGACACTGCTAACATTTGTTGATGCAGTAATAAGCATTCACTAAACGTTAAATAATACAATAATAAGCATTGCATTCAACAACTTAAATGTCTCTTGGTAATACTAGTAAATTGTCAATAAAGATATTAACATTTATTTCACGAAGTTCACAGCTTAGCAGTTTCATTAGGAGAAGGCTGTTTTAATGTTCATTTAAGCATAATAATTGTCCACTTACTTGTCCATCCTCCAACCAACGAATTCACTTTGTCCTCGCTCCACGTTCATCTAAGGTGGTATCTTCCAGCTTCTGATTGACTGAACACACATGATGCAGGTATGCAGCAGTGGGCAGGGCATGGATAGTTGGAAAGCATGCACGGTGGTAGCTCTCGAGGACCTGACTTGCCCACCCCTGCTGTATACTGTAAGCATTACTTACTCGTAATTACGCATTTATTAATGCTCTTTAAAAATGTAT